ATTCAGGAGTCTGAGGCAGGAGAACTGCCACAAGTTCGAGGACAGCCTAGGCTACACAGAGTTCAAGGACAGCTTAACTACATCATAAGAACCTATCTCAAAAAAACAGGAAATCTAAGCCACCAGATTTGTAAAAATAGCTCAGTAGCTCCCTATGAGAGATGGGTAGAAGCAGAACAGAAGGAAGAATACAGAAGTCACACTGCTTTGAATATGTCCTGTCTTATGGGTTTGACTGGGGAACCACATAGCATTTTATATAATTATGAGGCAAATGTAAGTGCTGATAAAACAATTCCCTAAGAATTAAAAATAAAGTGAGTTCAAAGAGGATCCTATTGAGAGAATACCATGCAGAAAGGCATTATTCCTTGCAGTTTTAAAATACAATTGTTTTGGTCATAAATCTCTAATGGGAATTTGCTATAGGGGGGAAAAGAACCTGCACAACAAGAACTCTTCGCTGTGCCAGCGTTTCACACATGCTGGTATTACTGTTACTTCACCCAGGATGAAGTGCATGCACAGTGCACGGTGGTGGTGAAGTGGCAGTCACCATATTGCGCTGGCCCTGGCTGTGGTGACAGGATTGGTGGGCTCTGGCTTCTTTTACTCAGCATGCTTTTGGGATTCAAGATTCATATGTGTGACAGGCTGAAGCAAAGCAAAAGATTATATTATATTCTTGGGAACTAAAGTTTCTCTCAAGGAAAGGGGAACTACAGATAGAAGACAGAGGAGATTTCACATAAACCCACTAGCCTGAATCTCAACTGGAAGCTTCAGGATGAACTCAGGATGTGTTTTGTATTTAAATATATATATTTTTCTAAGCCTTGTTGACTAAAAAGGCTTCAAAATTATGAGATCAGCCCTGTAGCAATGAGATCTGCTTATATCCCAATTATGATTTTTCAGTACTATTTTCTACTGAAAGTACAACTAAGTGCAGCTCCTTGGAAGGATAGTGGATCCAGACCAAATGCAGAAAATGCACCAGGCAGGTCTGAGCACTCTGTCACAACAGGCAGTGAAGAACCTCCCAGGGACCACGGGGTCAGGTCAGAAGGACCCGTAGGCCAACCTGAGCAGGGTCCCATGGGTCCGAGCTGAAAGAACTGGAACATCAATAAGATAATAACTGCAATGCACTGAAACGCACCAGTATGTGTGAATCTATCAGTCTGTAATGATATGTGTGTTTTAAAATCTCATCTGTCACCCTGGGAGAATGCTAGAGAAGCAACTCATTATTTTGAAAACTAATAAAGGGAGAGAAACAGGCATTTACCCGGTGTTTTTTACATGAGCCTCAAGGTAACAAGTAGTTGATGAGAAGTCTTCCTGCACATAAGTAACCCAGAGGAAAAATGAAAAAGAAATGATAGGATTCAAACATCATCATTCTGTGACCCTCAATGCACTGGTAGAGTTACCCCTGCTCATTAACAGCACTGTACACTACACAAGCACACAACTGGCTGTCCTGTGCCTCCTCATGGGGGCTCACACTATCATGCAGGAAAGAATCTCTTCACAAAAACTGAACTTGACTCCTACCAAGCTTTGGAATCTACCAAAACACAGACAATAGAGAGTGCAGACAGAATGTTACAGGACACCACTGGGCTGCAAGGGACAAAACCTAGAGCCAAGCAAACTGTATAGGACAAGGGACCTGGCTTCTTCTTCAAAGATATAAGAAAAACAGGGGCTGGGGATTTAGCTCAGCGGCAAAGCGCCTGCCTGGCAAGCGCAAGGTCGTGAGTTCGGTTCCCGGTACCGGAGAAAAACCAAAAACCAAAAAAAAAAAAAGAAAAACAAAAGGAGGGATTAATACACTTAAGAACTGTAACACCTAGTCACAGTGCAAGGATTTTATTTGAACCCTGATCCAAAGAAACCATAAATGATAAAAACCATTTATAAGACTAAAAAATATGAACAATGACCGGATATTTGATAATAAAAACTTATTGTTCATTGTATTTATATATGATAATGGTATTACCTATGTTTTAAAAATAACCACTACCTCTTAGAGATATACAGAAATATTTATAGGTGAAATGATGGTTTTTAGGTTTTGAGTCAAAATAATCCAGGGGAGAGGAGTAGGCAGGAGAACAGATTAATAACCAAGTGGCTATTAAACTTAAAGGATGTAGGGGCTGGGGATTTAGCTCAGTGGCACAGCGCCTGCCTGGCAAGTGCAAGGTCATGAGTTCGATTCCCCGGTACCAGAAAAAAAAACAAACAAAAAAAATAAACTTAAAGGATGTCCCAATAGCCAAATACAGGACAATCTGAGCAATAAAATAATGATAAAAATAAATTGTAATTCATACAATATAATCAAAGGACCTGGCTTCTTCAAAGATATAAGAAAGATATAAGAAAAACAAGTGTCCTTGATCTACGCTGATACAAGCAAGTACACAAATGAAAGAGAAGGGAAGGTTCTCCCTTACAGTAAAGAATGATGGAAATAACAAAATGCCACTTGGGAAGCACCAGAGTAATGATAGGTTCAGATAAGAATTACTGATGGATGCTCAAATTAGGAGGGAAAAATGATTAAAAAGAGGATATCCACACAGAATCAAAGTATTTTCCTTCAAGACATTTACTAAAAGGGACAAACAGTAACTTCACAAGGAGGAGCCCTAGCAGATGCCTCTGTCTGCAGTGATCAAGGTTACCATCACTAATGATGGAATAAAATGATGTAAGGAGGGGCATGGCACCATTTCTATGTGATCCCTGCCAAAACTGCATAACCTAAATCCAAGCATGGAGAAATACCAGGGAAACCAAATGGAGGGATATCTTATAGGATAACTGGCCATCACACAGCAAAAATGTCACAGCCAGCAAAGATAAAAACAGACTGCCTCAGAGTAAAGGTCACCAGGGGACATAAATGCTAAATGCAACATGCCCCCAAAGCAATCTGTGTATGGCTCATGACATCTGAATAAGGTTTCTGAATCAGCTGTCTTGTATCAAAGTGAATCTCTTGGATTGATCGTTCTATAATATGGTATACATATCAAAATTTGAGGCAGTTTGGTGAAGGGCACATGGGAATTCACTGTACCATTTTTGCAACTTTTCTGTAAGTATGAGATTACTTCAAAATGAAAAGTTAAAAGCTGGGCATCGCACGGCTGTAATCTCAGCACTCAGGAGGCTGAGGCAGGAGTATTGCCATGAGCTCAAGGCCAGCCTGGGCTACATAGCAAGACTCTGTCTCAACAAAATGAAAAGGAGGAAAGTTTAAAACAACTTTTTCCTTTTCTTTCTCCTTGTCCTTGTCCTTGTCCTTGTCCTTGTCCTTCTTTTTTTTTTTGTGGTGCCTTGTAAATGCTAGCTAGGTAAGCTCTTTACCACTGAGTTATATCACCAACCTCAAAACAATTTTTAAAGTGGATATTGGTTTTTAATTATTGAAACTCAGGGATGTGTACCTTGCTGTGTTGCCCTGCCTATGCAGATACTTCAAATGTCCCAGTGTGAGTGTTACAGATGTTTTGGAAATGTAACAATCACATGCAAGGTGATTTAATTTAGACTGGATCCCAACAAGTCACCTGTGAAGGAGCACTTCTGGACTGGGAGTGTGGCTCAGTGGTAGAGTGCTTGCTTAGTATGTGTGAGCTCCATCCCCAGCCATGCAAAAAAAGCAAAACACACACACACACACAAACCCATTTCTGAGACAAACAGGGAAATTTAAATATGAATTGGCATTAGATAATAAGGAATTATTCTTGATTTTTAAAGGCAGTTTTTAAAGAGGTAAAAATACACATTACATAACATTCATCACTGTGACAGTTTAAAGTATTCAATCTGCAGACATTACATCCGTTCATAATGCTGTGCAACCATCACAACTATCTGGTGCCAGGATATTTTTTATCACCCCAACAGTGGCCTGACACCCAGGACGCAGTTCTCCACATTCTCCACTTTCCCCACACGCTGGTGGCTACTAATCTGCCTTCTCTTGCTATAGACTGACCCATTCTTGATATGCCATATAAATGGAATCGCACACTGCGTGTCCTTTTGTGACTGACTTTCTTCTTTTATTGAGCACAATGTTTCCAAGCTTCAACCATATTATAATATGTGCCAGTGCTTTGTTCCTTTTCATAGCTGAACAGTATTTCATTGTGTGAATCGGGCACATTTGGTTTAACCATTAATCAGGTGATAGGCAGGCATTTGCATTATTTCTTTTAGATGTTATAAATACAGGTACCATAAACATTCATGCACAAGTTTTTGTTTGAACAGGTTTCACTTCTTCTGAATATATACTTAGCAGTGGAACTGCTGCATCATATGCTAAATTCTATGTTCTTTAGGAACCACCAAATACTCTTCTGGGGCACTGGTACTCTCTCTGACACTCCTACCACCAATCTATGAGGGTTTCAATATTACTGCCATTTCTGTTATTTTCTATTTCTTTTTTTCAATAGCCATCTTAGAGGATGTGAAATGATACTACTTGGGTTTTGATTTGCATTTCCCTAGTAAGCAATGATACCAAGCATCTTCACATGGGTTTCTTGGGGCTGGGGATTTAGCTCAGCGGCAAAGCGCCTGCCTGGCAAGCGTAAGGTCGTGAGTTCGGTTCCCGGTACCGGAGAAAAACCAAAAAAAAAACAAAAAACAACAACAAAAAAACCATGTGTTTCTTGACCACTGCTAGAGGTTCTAATGCTTTGTAGTTAAATGCAAAATGCCACTGGTTTTAAAATGCATACTACAATAAGAAAGGATATAATAAGTCTGAGATTTGCTTTAAAACATGATAGCAAAAAGGTAAGTTCTTTAAGAGAAAGAAAAGGGCTAAAAGAAGGGAATATGTGTAAACCAGGTCAAAAATGAATCTGGTTGATGAACACACAGCGGGCACTCTTAGTCTCTCCACTTCTGTATATGCTGAAATTTCTTAACAATAAAAAAGTTCTGCCCATTCCTACCTGGTGGGCTTCCACACCCATCACTTCCAGGGCGCTCTTGAAAAACTCTGGGGAAGGTTTTCCTACCACCTCGGCTTCGATGCCACAGGCGTACTGAGAGAGAGAGAAGGGTACAGCATGGGTTTGGGATCCAGAACAGGTAGGTGTCCAACCATGGAAAGACCATCTTGATGTGTCCCCAAGGGTTGGGCCTTGACACGATGGGACACCATGTGAACATCATGAGTCCACAGTGGGCTGCCTGGGATGCCCAGGGCATCCACCACCAGTGCTGGCACCCACTCCAAGGCCCCTCCACAGTGGGAAGTATCCCACGGGTAACAGAGCCACAAGGCCCGAGAACCAGCAGACCAAGGTTCTTATCTGCTTACTCAGCTGCAAATTTACTCATTGTCTGCCTCACCCCCAAACCCCACTGCCAGCTCCATCACAGACTCACCTAGGAGAGGTCCACAGCCCCACCCACCCACCTATCTGCCCATCTCGCCCCACTGAGTGCAGGCAGGCAGGAGCTGCTGCAGTGTGGGGATGGGGTGTGACCTGAGCTGACCTGGGACAAGAGCCCCAGGAGGGGACAGCTGAAAAGACAGGGGTCAGAGTGGAGGCAGAGGCTTGATGGCCTTGTGACTGGAGGGAAGGGTTGGGAAGGAGGTCAGCAAGTGTGAGGTACTACACATGACCAGGGTCAGGAAGGAGGCTTGGGGCCAGGGATATAGCTTAGTGGCACAGTGCCTGCCTGGCAAGCGCAAGGTCCTAAGGAGTTTGATTCCCAGTATAAAACAAACAAACAAACATGTTTTGGCCCGGGATATGGCTCAGCAGCACAGTGCCTGCCTGGCAAGCATAAGGTCCTGAGTTCAATTCCCCAGTACCAAAATAAATAAAGGAAGGAAGGAAGGAGGTTGGGGTGGTCAGCACAGACAGGAAAGCCATTGGTTAAAGAGGAAAGTGGCAGAGTGCGCCGGGAGGGGACAGATGGGGAAGGGGACAGACAAGAGGGACAGAGGAGGGCAGAGTAATATGGAGGCAGCCACGAGGCCAGACCTCAGAAGAGAAGGAATGAGTAGTGAGAAGCCCAAACAGGAGGGCCTGCTTTGAAACCAGCAGGGCTGCTTGAACATAAGACATACCCTCTTCTCCAAAGACCTGAAATAGTGTCATCATCTGGCCATGAAGAGGCCTGGGAAAGAAGAAGGGCAAATACCTCGAGTGCTTTCACGTAGGCTCCGACGTCCAGCATCAAGCCTGAGGTCTCCTTGTAGTAGCGTCTAGAAGACAGCAGAGGGGACAAAGTGCACTGAGCCATGGGTACAGGTGAGGCACACAGAGTGACCAGCGGAGGTCAGCACAGGGAGCCCAGGGCCAGAAGCTCTGGGGATCCACAGGTCATCCAGAGTGGCCCCTGCTGCCAGCCTCGAAGGGACCCACACAATGATTAACTAGGCACCCCTGGGGAGAGATGGATCCAGCTGTTAACACAGAGAAAGATAAGTGACCTGTGTTCTGGGAAGCGACAGCAGGCCCATGGGATGTGGTAAACCCCTAACTGCAAATAATTAACCCCTAATTGCTGCCCCAAGAAGAAAACTCCATTCGTTCCACAGCACCCTGCCGCCTGTTAGCCGAGGTCAAGCAAGGTGCCAGGTTTTGTGGGCACCAGATGCTTCCGTGCGAAGACAAGAACATCCTGCCCCATGTGTGGAGGCCGAGGTGGGCTCAGCTCACAGGAGCATCTCTTCAGATGGTTGCATCGCTCCTGTGAGCGCTGTGGTGCTTCCCGGAGCCTGGCCAGTCCACCCCATGTCAGGTCTGAGCCTCAGGGCAGACATGGTCCCGGTTACATGGCAGACCAATCTCAGGCTCTCTAAGGTACGCCTCTGGACGGTAAGGAGGGGAGAAGGTGGCTTGACCTGTGCTGCTCTAAACATGGGCTCGATGAAATTCAAGAAGGAGAAGGGTCTGATTTTAGAATTATTAGTGTTCTGCCACCCACAACATGTTTCTCTTCTCCTACTCCCTGCCCTTCATAGTTAGGGACATTAAGGAGATGGCATGTGAGAGACACATGAAGCAGGTTGATTTCAGCATCCACATCCTCTCTTTGCTTCCCAGTAGTGACTTCTGGCTATTTTCACCTGTAGGCCTCAGTCTCCTAATGTATAAAATGGTCAGAACAAACAACCTACCTCATGTATTACTGTGAAGTCGGGACAAAAAAACGAAGTAGACTACTTTATTATCACAATTTCCTTAACCAGGTCTAGAATTTGGGGAGGTTTTTAAATAATTTTTTTCTTTTCAATTTTTTTGTTTGTTTTTTTGAGACAAGGTCTTGCTATGTAGTTCAGCTGGCCTGGAGCTCACTATGTAGCCCAGGCTGGCCTCTAACTCACTACGATCCTCCTGCTTCAGCCTCCTGAGTGCTGAAATTACAGGTGTGCACCACTGTACCTGGCTAATTTTTATTTTCCATTAGTCCATGTTTGTAGTACATAATGATTACATCCCTTGTGAGGAATTCGTACGTAACACATCTTAATTCTTTTTTCATCCTCTTTCTTTTCCCTTCTCTTCCCCTTCCTTCCATCTTTTGGAGGTCCTCTTTTTGGTCCCCTTTCTACTTGCAAAAGATCTAGCTCCTTATTTCCTATATCTATCTTTTATTTTGCTCTGTATTTACATTTTGGGTTTCCTGTATAATAGTTTTAAAGAGACACTGAATGACGAAACAGAATTGGCTGGGAAGGAGGCTGGCTGGGCCAGAGGTGGTCTACCTTACTCAATCCCCTGCAGCCATGACAGACACAGCTACCCCACAGGTCCTCTGTGGGTCTCAGAAATACTTCCAGACCTGGGTAGGCCCTCCTACCACAAGAACTCCCACTGACATAGGGACAGAGACAGGTCCACAGACAAATTAAAAGGGAAGGACATGGGCAATAATAAAGGTATCATGCTGCCATGGCACCTTGCCTGAGCCAGCACTAGATAGGGAAGGGGCAGGGAGACAGAGAGGCGTCCCACAGAAGAAATGCTGAAGCTGAGCTCTGAAGGGGGAGGTTACCCAGCTAAGCAGGAGAGGAGCATCTGGGCCCTGGGTGCATCCTGGAATCACACAGAGCATTCTGCTGAGATCCATGGTGCACCACACTGCCCTGGGCAAGTGTCTGCAACAGGCTCAGAGGCCATGACCTTTGTTCCCCTGCCTTCCTTGCCCCCATGACCTCACAGAAGGGGGATTTGTAGGTGGCCACAGAAAAGAACCAAGGGGGACAGGGAGGGCTTCCCTGAGGAAATGACATGTCAGTGTGAGTCAGGGGTGGAGGCCAGTGGTGAGGAAAGACCACATGAAACACTGGAGACACCTACTCAGCAGCAAGGAGAAACTGCCTAAAACAAAACCATCCATTGTGACCAGGGCAGCTGCTTGGAGCTGAGGACTCCAGGTGTTTCTGAGCCCAGACCTGGAAGGAGATGGGAAGCTACACAGACTGAAGCACACCCTTCTCATCTGCAAAAACCCCCTCAGGAGATGCCCAGGGAGCAACTCTAATGGTCTCAGATTCCCCTGAGTCTTCCTCTAACAAGAAAGACGCCTGGACTTTCTTGCATTTAAATTTAGCCCCGGATGGGAAAAAAATGAATGTGCAACTCAGAATATACAAACAAAACCCTGTCTTTGTTATGCCAATCTTTACAGTCCAAAGAGAGCACGGATTCTGGAAAATCAAAATTAAGACCTTTACTGTTTCTTTTTTTTTAACGGAGTCAGGGCTGATTTTTAGAAAACTCATTTTTAAAAAAAAAAAAAAAAAAAAAAGAAAACTCATTTTTATTCATTCAGGAAAATAAAAGGCCATCTTGAAGTCAACTCTTGGTCAAAAACATTTTTAGAAGTACGGTAAATAAAAGTACTTAACTTTCCCATACTCTAGAGAATCGATATATTTCTCCTTTGCCTCTGACATAACAGTGCACAGCAGCCTTGGACAGGCCCCTCAAGTTGCAGCTGCAAAGGGGAAACTGTGGACCCTGCAAAGAACAGGACAAGGCAGGAGGAGCAGTCAGATCTGATTTTATGCTTTATTCTCCTGCCGATTCCGATTATTCAGCACAGCCTCCCTCCAAAATGACCACTTGACCTTTCCCAGAAGAGTCATTAACCTTCCATAGTCTGTCGCGTAAACAGCTTAATTTTCTGACAGCGGCATGACAGAAGAAATTACAAAGCCAATTCCCACTCTCAGGTCCAAACAGATGCCAAATGTAAATCACTCCATTTCCAGAAAGACATCCTGCCGCAGCCCCACTGCCACTCCTGACTCCTCCTCCGCAGCCCGCATACCCTCACCGGTGATCCTCCAGCCTGTGACGGTGTGGAGAAGCTGTGATCTCACTAACACTGCCAAATCCTTTTTCTAGTTGTAAACATCCCTCCATGACCCATGTCAAAATCTACCTGCTAGAGACCCTGCTCGTCTCTCACTAAACCCGGGCCTACTGCAGCATCTGTTGCAGTATTACACAGCCAAGAGCAACTGATTCCTGTTTTCTCTTCAATAATACACCGATTTTGTCTATTACTCATAATCTGGAATAAAAACTTCATAATTAAGAGACAACTTTAAAGAAAAAAGTTTTAACAAAAATAAGTCATCATAGAGCTTCTCCATTCTGCTTGTTTCTTGGTGTGGGATTAAAAACTCCACACCAATGGGCCCCACACAGAGTGAGGCAAGCCAGCCAGGGGCCGCCATTGGTCTCATATTAGTAACTGAAATGGCTAAAGATTGTAAGGAACCATGATGTTTAATTTTATATTTCAATGTGGCTGGGCCATAGTTGACCCGACAGGTGGTCAAACATGAGTCTAGATATTTCTGTGAAGATCTTTTTTGGAAGAGATCAACACTTAAATTGGTGAACTTTGAAGAAAACAGGTCACTCTCCGTTCTGTGTTCTGTGGGTGGTCAAATCCAATTGGATGGAGAATTTAATAGAGCAGACTAGTCTCCTCTGAACAAGAAGGAATCCTGCCAAGACACAGCACTGGGACTCAAGTACAGCACGTGCCCAAGTCTCTATCTTGTAGCAGACTTTGGATTACACCTGTTATGGTTTAGATATGAAGTATCGTCCACAAAGACTGATGTTTTGAGGGCTGGATCCCCAGTGCAGCAATGTTCAGAGGTGGGGCCTAGAGAGCTCACTGCGTGAGGGCACTGTGCATGTGGATGGGTTTATCCAGTGATGAGTGCATAGCTGAATGGGCTGTTAGGAGGCGGGGTACAGTTGGAGGAATTAGGTCACTGGGATGTGTCCTTGAAGGGTATATGCCAGTGGTGACAGACCTATGACATATGTGCACGGTGGGCTGTTTGTTATCACTGAAAACTCTAAAAGGTTTGCCATTTAGAAAAAAAAAAAAAAAAAGTTTGACTATAATCTGTACCTGGCCTCTTCTTTTCCGCCTATCTACCCGTTTCTCAGCTTCCCAGCTGCACAGGTAAGTAACTTTCTTTCGCTATGCCCTTTCACCATGACGTTTCTGCGTTAGACCCAGACAACCATGAACTAAAACCCCTGAAACCATGAATAAACCTTTCCTCCTTTTGTTATCCTCAAGTATTCTGTCCTAGCAACTCAAAGCTAACACACCACACCTCCACAATGAATCAATCACTCTGTGAGTGTGTCCACATGCCATTGGTTCCTCTTTCTCCAGAGAACCCTGATTAGTATACAGAACCTCTTTTATTTACATGACACCTACAACTTTTTAGTTTCTAAGAATCTATATCCTACCTTTGCTTTCTTGAAATAGCTTTCATTTGCCTATTTTTGATAGAGACATAGCATGAAGAAACATGCTATTTCTCGACTGTGAGAAAAACAACAGACAGCTGACGATAAATGGTAATTGACTGTCTGGGGGATACTGCAAGGTGAACAATATAATACATTGTTTATTTTATAAGTTTATTTCTAAGTCACCCAAAGAATCATATACAAAAAGAGTGCAGGAAATCTGTCCACGCACTAAAAACCGAAGAATCCAGCTGAGGGCCTGGATCCCACGATAATGTCCTGCATGAGTCCAGCTGAAGACCTAGAGCTCATGCAGGCCTGTTTCATGGATCTGCACTGGGAAGGCCCAAAGGTCAGAGGTGGAAGCTAGAAAGTCTATGCTAGTGGGATGAAGGATCTGTGCTAGCAGGCTGAGGGGATCTGCATTGGAGCCAGGAAGCGAAGCTCAAAATAAGAATCAGAGCTCCCTCAAAAAATACCACAGCCATCCTCACCAACAGGGAGGTCCTGAGCTCCTCCAATGATGGGGAAAGCTGAGTTTCCATCAGGAAAGCCAATGTGACAAGCTTCTCCAGGAAGAAGCTTGTGCACCATCTTCTCTGGAGTCAGGAAGTGATGCTGAAAGTGAGAACCAGAGCTCCCCCAAAGTGAACCGGAGCCATTCTCAGTGACAACAAGGTCCCGAGCTCCTTGGACAATGGGAATAGCCGAGTTCATCAGGAAAGCCAGCATGATAAGGTCCTCCAAGAAAACTAACAACCCCTTACAGCTTCTCTCTGCTTCCAATAGGCTCCCAACAGCCTTCCTCTTCTTTTCCAGTTCTTCCTCTTATGCTGCTGGCAACAACCCTCAGGTGGGCTTCCCACACCCAGCACCATGCTTATTAAGTTCAGGTAGGTGTTACAAGTTGACCACCAGTTGTCAATCCACCACCCTGACATTGAAGATTTGAGACAGAGAAAATAGGGAGTGGTGGGGTCTCCGGTAAACTGGAATTAATGGAAATACTGGCTCCAGATAAGCAGCAGTGCATCCACGAATGTGGGGTTTAATACTGTCAGACCTTCTGATTGTTCAAAAGAATTCAGAAATCTGGATATATTATATAAAGCCTCCCAATTTTTAAAGATGGATTCAAAATTATTTTAAGATCTTTACATATCAAATATCCGCTCTAGAATGTAATGTAGAGGTGACAAGCAGAGGCCTTGAGGTTGGCCAGACCAGGTGGTGCTCCTGTTGGTACCAGCTCACCTGGGGAACCAAGGCTTCTTACTTTATCTCTCCCACACCCCACCTGCCTACAGCTCCCAGGGCTGTAGACAGAACCAAACAAAATGGAGTACATCAACTGAATCACCATGGCCAGTGGCCAGACCAGAGGCCCCTCCCTGTCCACTCAAACAGCTAGTCAGCAGGCAGAAGCTGTGAGTGCCCAGCCACCAGAAGCACTAAGGATGGAAACACTTCGTAAGAGAAAGCCTGAGAATTTCCACACTGAAAAGCTTGGATAGGGGCTCCAAGCTTTAGCCCAGGAGTCTAAAATTTTAGTGCCATTTCTACTGATCACTGGGTAAATCAGCACAGCTTTCTGGACAGCAACTGGGTAACATACATCGAGAACTTCAAAAATGTTCACTCTGTAACTGCCCCTTAAGGGGCTGGGGATTTAGCTCAGTGGGACAGTGCCTGCCTGGCAAGCGCGAGGTCGTGAGTTTGATTTCCAGTAATGGAAAAAAACAAAAACAAAACAAAAAGACAATGTAACTGCCCTTGAAGACATCACCTAAATGTACAAAGCTGCACTGCACAGCTTCACTATAATAGAAAATCAGAAACAACCTTAATGTCCACCAACAGGGATTTGTTAAACAACTATAGAACAGTCACAGAATGGATAACTGTGTCACAGAGATATTTGTTATCATGTGCAAAGTCATTCACAAAACAATGTTTGGTGCACAATTAAAAACAGGTGATGAAACAAGGTCAAGTTTGATGCTAGTGCTGTGACTACATCCATCTGTAAGCAGCCATTTGAAAGGACATAAACCAAAATGTTGACATTGTTTTCCTTGTGCAGGGGGAATGAAAATACCTTCTGTTTTCTCCTTTTACTCACCTGCATTTTCCAGTTTGTCTTCAAAGAACAGCTGCTATCTTAGTGGTAAGAAAAGATGTTAAGAAAAATAACCAAATGCTGTTTTATTTTGTTTTTAAAAAAAGAAATGGTATTAATGGTTTGGATTTTGCATGTCTCCCAAAGGCTAATGTGTCCAAGGTTTAGTCTCCAGCTGATGGTTCTATGGGAGGCAGCAAACTTTTGAAGGCAGGGCCTACTGAAAAGAAGTTAGGGCACTGGGAGTGTGCCCTTGAAGAAGACATTGGGACTGCCCCTTGTTCTTTCTCTCTCTGCTTCCCAGCAACCATGAGATGAACAGGTTTCTTCCACCACATCCTGCCACTGTGATGTACTGTCTCACTACAGGCTAAAAGCAATGGAGCCAAGTGACCACAGACTAAAACTCCTAAAACTCTTGAGTCAAAACAAGCCTTTCTGCCTTTAGGTTGACTTATCTCAGGTATCTGTCATCAGAATGGAAAGCTGACTAACGCAGGTCATGAGGCATGTGCTAGATGATCACACAAAGTGGTGGCCACAAAATCAGAACTTTACAGAGACAGTGTTCTATAATCAGAGACACTTAGAGCCCAAATCAGAGAACCCCCCAGGCTCTTAAGCCTATTTGTCACTGCTGAGGTGTCCCCTGGGACCATTCTTTAACACTTTATGCTATATCCTGGCCAATCCACCTTCTCCTGTACTCCAAACTTGGGACAGTCCACACCTGGCCCCTGTGATCTCCATCTGCAATGGTGCCCCTTGCCTCCTTCTACCCTCTCCCAGCTGAAGGTCCACACAGAAGCCTGACCACCAGTTCCTGAAGAAAGAGTATTCTGCTTTCCTAAAAAAAAAAAAAAAAAAAAAAAAAAAAAAAAAAATCACTGAAAGAAGGATGAAATGAAGAGGAAAAGCAAGAAAGGAAGGAGAGGGAGAAGGTTACCCTGTTCTCATTCTACACCACCTGGCCACATCCTTCCCTGCTCGATTCTGTCTCAGAGAACCACAAAGCATCATCCAAAGCAACTGGAAACAACCCCCCTTGGAGCTGACTTACCCTTTTCCCAGTGATATGAGCACAGGATTTTCCAGTTCCATGAGCACCTGGAAGGCTTTATTCATGTTTTTATAAGAAAAGGCATCAGCAGCATCTGCAATCACGACACAGTTTGGGTTGGATGTGTCAATCTTATCAAATTCTGAGTGGATTTCTAAAGAGAGAGAAAGAGAGCACAATCAAGCCTCAAGATGACTTGATTTACTTCCAGCTCCTGCCAGGGACACTTTCTGTTACATCTGTCCTTTCTCCGAGGCATGAAGCTTGTTTCTCTTTTTACTAACTTAATTATATTTTTAAGAAGCACTAACCACTCCTTTCTGATCTTCACAGTTACAATGGGAGGTGGACAAGGAAGAGGTGTTACTCCCATCGGACAGGTAAGGAACCCCTTGGCCTCCATAGTTATAGAGCTTGTTAGAAGAACACTGGACTCATTCCCAAGAATCCCCAACACCAGCATTAGCCCCAGGAGCTCCTTAGCTCAATACTGAGAAATAAAGTCCACAGCTTTGCAACTTAGAGGGAAAATCTGTTGGAGGACATAGATTGCTGGCAGCAGGATGAAACAAGGTTGCTCATGACCTGGAGGGTTGATATGGCTGGCCCCAAACTATAAGCCACGGACATATACATTCTGAGAAGGAGCAGAATCTCACCCCACCCAGCTGCTCACCAGCCCCCTTGAGAAGGTCTTTTCCTTCCCCTCCTCCTTTGCTCTCCTCCATTTTTCATTAATGTAGGGAAAGTTGCAAGAATAGAGTCATTGCCTTTATGTCTTAAGTTCCTAGGAGAAACAGCTCTCTTGGTATTAAATGCTGACCTTCAGGATTAAAACAAACAAACAAACATGGAAGTAGAAATGAGTGTGACTGTACATGCCTGTAATTCCAGCACTCTGGGTGGCTGAGACAGGAGGATCACAAGTTTGAGCCCAGCCTGAGAACTTAGTGAGACAGTGTCTCAAAATATAGGTCAGTGTAAAGGCCCTGGGTTCAGTCTCTGGCACTACAAAAAAACTAGCCACAATGAGTCCACTACCTACCTAGACAGTAAGAATTAAAAAGACTGATAATGCCAAGTGCTGATGAGGACATGGAGCAGGTACAGCAGAAGTTCTCTTTTTATACCTCTGATGAGGTATAAAACAGCACAAGGGAAAAGGGCTGGCAATTTCTTATAAAACTGAACATACCTCTCCCCTGTGGCCCAGCAATTCTCCCCCTAGGTATTGACCCAATGTGTAATGCAATCCCCATCAAGGTCCAAAACATCACTATCACCTGGAGGTTCCCTCGTGTCCTCCTACACTCACATGTGTTCATTGCAGATTTATTCATAATAGCCTGAAGCTAGAAAACACTCAAGTATCCATGAACATGTGAGTGGACAAACACACTGTCTGTGGAATACTACTCTACCAATAGAAAGGAAAACACTGCAGATACATGAAACAATTAAATAAGTGTCAAAAACATGATGGAGAAAGAAGGCTTTATACAAAAAACTAGCGTGAAAGAAAGGGCCAACTGAGCAGGCCTGGCCTGCTCAAATCCTGCACTGTGCTCAGGACCAGCCCTCCACCAGCTCTGGAGAGAACTTCTGGGCCCTTCAGGAGGCATCCTGGGTGGTAAGAGAAGTCTGTATGTGTAGAGGGAGTGGCTGAAGCTGGACACTGATCACATGTTCAGGGCTGGAGCAAGGCCAGCCCCGAGAACACAGAGCACCTGAAGGGAGTCACGTGAACAAGTTGTTTCAGCCCTGAGAGCACAAAGTGCCCAAGGTGAGCCAGGCTAACCTGCCCGAGAACATGGGGTGTGACAGGCGAGCTAATTGTTAGACAGAGGGGTTTCACCTGACATCAACTTGCCGCGTGTATAAATACATACACTGCAGTTGTCGGGTAGTTCTTTTCTCTACCGAGAGAGCCCTATCTGATTTCTGCAAGCTTTCTGCATTTTCACTCTTGCCTTCACTTTTTTTTGATACTAGGAATCGAACTCAGGACCTTGTGCCTACCAGGCAGGTGCTGTGCCGCTGAGCTATATCACTGCCCCTTCATTTCTTCACAATCCTCCCCCTAGGAGTGCTCGAGAGCTGCGCTGGACACTGCATGCATGGCTGAGATGTGGGGCCGCGCTGTATCCATTTAATCTCCCTCTGGAGATCAAGCAGCTAAAGCCAGTCACATGGGCACTTCATGCTTACATGAGTGACTCATAACAAGAGCCACGCATGCTGAGGGTCTGTCAAGCTTCCCTACCTGCTAGCATTTCACATGTGTTGTCACATGTCACTGCTGAAACAATTAAGCACATCCCAGGCAAAGGGACCTCACGCATGGTTTCTCATGGCCTCTGCCCCATGTGTCTCCTCCCCTTGCTGAGTCTGTGTTTCTCTCACTATAAGCATGAGCGTAACAACCTTCCTGGGTCCTATGCACCATTCCAGGGAATCATCAAGCCTGGGGCTTGTCTGGGGGGCCGTTGACGCAACTAGACACTATATGACTCTGGTTATATGAAATTCTAGAATAAGTACACTTAATTATAGTGGAAAGTATCAAAATTATGATTGCCCCTAGTGGAAAGATGGTAGGGCCTAGCTGGAAAGGGCACAAGGGAAACTTCAGGTGATATAATGTTCTAGACCAGTGATGGCGAACCTTTTACAGCATTCAGTGATACAGGTTCACCACCACTGTTCTAGATCTGAGGTTGGATTACACAGGTGAATGCACTTGTCAAAACTTGGCAAAAGGGCACTTGAGGTTTGACCAGTTCATTGTATGTCAACTTTATATCAAAAGAAAAAACTAAAACACAGAACTCTAGTTAATGATATACTGGTATGCTTACGGGAAATGCATCAATGCCTACAACTTATTTGATTTATATCCAAAAATAATAAATAGGTGGATGGAGGGATGGATAAATATGTACAGAAGAGTCACTGACATAGTCTAGAGGCTGGGGGCTGGGAATTTAGCTCAGCGGCGAAGTGCCTGCCTGGCAAGCACAAGGTCGTGAGTTCGATTCCTGGTACCGGAAGAAAAACAAAAACAAACAAAAAAAAAACAAAAAAAAACCCAAAATCTAGGGGATGGATATACAAAAATTCCAAGTAAAATTCTTTGAGTTTAGCTATATGTTTGTAATTGTCTTCATGAAATATTAGGGGGAAATCCTTCATCATAATACATGAAAAAAATTCAAACTCTGAAAACACAGGTCCAATTATTGAAAGCACAGATGCAGAATGAGAGCCCTGTAAGGGCATCTGACATCCTTTCCAGCCCTCTCAAGCTCTGCCCACTCTTTGTTCAGTTCTTTGATGAACACCGCCTTGGAGGCAAATGCTGTGTTTTCCTCAGCTCCCTGTATCTTCCATTCCTACTCCAATACCTCGCAACCCTTTTGTGGAGTGCAGGGAGACAGAATGTTTTAAGGCTTTTCTTCTTTGAGAACCACATTCTAAAGACACTGGCAGAGGTCTTAAACTAGAGAAAGGACTTTGAGAAGCAGGTCCCTAAAGGCTGGGCATGTTGCCTTTAGAGTAGCAGGGCTATGAATTTGACCCTCGAGCCCTCTGGGAAGCAACCTCCACCTCTGAAAGTCCCACTCCTCCTCTGGGAAGGAGAAAAGCAGCTTGCCTCTGCCCAGTGGTTTATAAAAATAAAAATCAAGCAAGATAAATGCTACTTTTTTCATTTATACTACTAGTTTCTTTTGTTCATTGAAAAGAAAGTTTTGTCCTTTCATTTATTTCTTCTTTGTAAGAGAGGGTCTTTTGTTGTCTATGTCTTGTACTCTCAGTAACATTTTGGCCATTCTTTTAAGATCATGATACATAGTATACTAACTGTTAATATTCTCTAATTAGTTTATTATGAAATTTTGGTTTTTTTCATAGATATAAGAAATGTTTTTCCATTTTCTTTATTCATATCTACTTGTATTACATTAAAATAAAAAAATTTTAAAATAAATAAAAATAAAGTACAGAGAAAAAAAGGAAAAACACTCAGAGGAAGGCCAGAGAAACATCTTAAATTCCAGGGTACTGCTCAAGTCTTCTTATTTAACTATTTAGGATACTTATAATACTGCTCTTCCTGCTTCAGCCCCCCCAAATTTGTCTACTGAGGGTCAAAGAGGTTCCTGTCTTGCATTTATACTAAATAATCAGGATGCAAACTTTGTTCCTATGGCCATTGTCAAGCTGCCTCCAAAAAGCAAGGCTGGACATCACTGCTCAAGGGTACAGTGCCAGACTTTAGAAAGACGCAGGACCTCAATCTAGCTTTTCGTATTTGCTATGTTTTGTCACTGTCTGACTAGCACACTGTCCCATAGGCAACTCCTTGGCTCCTTGGCCTGGTGCAGGTCAAGGGATGCCATCATAAGCTCTCCTCTCGGAACCATCTGGAACTGGCCTCTAACAACCCTCTGGCTGAAACTGCGAGATGGATGGGGCCTGATCCTAACTCACCCCCAGCAGGGAGCCCCACAAGGTCTGTACCTCACAGGTCCATGAGTGCTGTGACAGGAGCCAGGTATTACCTCAGTGCCTCTCCCTGAGGTTGGCCCTCATCAGAGTACAGGCCATTTTCCCTGCCTCCATCTTGTCTTGGGACCCTCACAGGCCCAAGGCCCAGCAGACTTACCATCATGGATGAGCAGATGTGGCCGCAGACCTCGCTCCTTTAGGATCTGGCAGGCGGCTGGCGCTGGGGAAGTCACTTCCGCCTCGGAGATGTCGAATCCCAGCTGCTGAAGCAACCCCACCAGCTTTCCCCGGGACCTCTGTGACTCATTGGTACAGAATCTCACCTTCAGCTGGGACTGCTTCAGTCTAAAGTGAGGAAATGACAGGTGACAGTGTTGCCAGCGTATGGTGTGTGGCCTCCAAGAAAGGGATCCAGAGAATGACACTTCTCTAAGGGCAAATGGTCACGTCCCAGGGCAGGTGAGATCGCTATGAGTCCCTGAGATGGCCCTAACTGACCCCAGGTATGTTCAGGATTTCTGAACTGGAGCAGACCCCTTCTTACAGACCATGCCCCACAGCCTCCTGCTCATCCTCACTAGACTTAATATATCTGAACTCCCTTCTCCTCATGTGCCTCTTCCTTTAACTGGACACATCTGACACCCTCAACCCAGGACATGTTAAGTCTCTACCTATGCTAACCCTACCCCCACCTCAAGACCATTCAGCACTTACCTTCCACCACACCATCCCATTTGGACTGGCTAGAGGTCACCTTGGAATGTCCAGAGCTTGCTCCGTGATTTTCCATACTACTTAGTAATTGCACTTTGCACCTGAGCTCTGTATACCCACACCTTATCAATCATGGGTCCATGTTTCCCAGAAAGGGCAAAGGCTGAGGGGCCTAGCTGAGGCCCAGCTCACTGCGCTGTCAATGAGGAAGGTTTACCAACATGGTCATTTGGTACATGACAGTTCTGGGATGGACAACAGAACCCAATCCCGTGCAGACCCAACATCAAGGTAGGATGAACTGCCAGCAGCGCTGCTATCCTTTCCTGGTGGGCACTACATGGGACAAGTTTCCAGAAGACAAAGCTACAAAATGGCTGCCATTCGACCTTTCTACAAATAATGACTGAGCATCTACCAAGTGCCAATCACACAGAGCTGCAGCCGTGAACACAGGCAAGGACCCCTCTCCAGGCCACAGACCATGGTATGAGAAGGGAGGCAGGCAACAAACAGCAAAGCCTCAAAGGAAAGGGGATTTGCAATTGAGGGGAGGTTCTGTGAAGGATGCAAACAGAATGAAAAGACAGAAGGCTGCCAGCTGAGGCTGAAGGTCAGGATGGGCCTCCCTGGAGACGCAACCCTAGAGCTAAAACTCTTGGAACCAATGGCACTAGTCAGGAGGTAGAGGAAAAGCAGAGGAAAAGTGGACACTGGGAGGTAGCCAGGGCAAGGCCCATCTGTACAAGAAGAGGCGACCAAGAGCCTGGTGCCTACCAGCAAGGGCCTACCCTGCGGGAGGAGGCTGCACACATAGGCTGCACAGGCCAGAGGAGGGGTCGTGGCCCTTGGGACCTGCCCCCTGACTTCCTGGCCCAGATCACCTGGGCCTAGACAACCCAGACTTGCCAAGACAGGAATCATAAATGGCATTTGCATAGAAATGCTGTGTGGAGTCAAAGGGAAAGTCTAGGTTGCAAGTCCTAAGGCCAAGAAGGCACATTTAAGAAAACCCAGCACAACTAACCAACAATACTAATGGTCACCTGGTCCAGGTCATAAACATGTCCCTAAACTTGTCCATCTCCCTAGCCTCCAAAGGCACAGGAGGATCTTTTGACTTTTCACATATGCTTTCAATCTTTGGATTTTAATAATCTAAGTACTACATGAGTAAGTCTTAAATATATAACTTACAATTTACTAATAAGCACATACATAGAAGAGGAATGTGCTCACATTTTGATTTTACAGATGCAGCCCCAACCAAAGGAGTCTAGAAGTAATATACAGATTAAATCCAAATGCTCAGAACTGTGGCTTGGAATCAGCCTCCACTGGATAAGGCTCCACCAAAACTCCACCAATTTCTCTCACTTTCTGGTGAGAAAACTGAGTCCCAGAAAGGACCAGGGTCTTCTGTTCTTTCCGTTAAGGAGACTCTGGGATGTGACTGATTGCTACTTCACCCCATGTGGCTCTCAGAACTAAGTGTATGGGGAACAGAAGTCAGTGCCTCCCAGAGCTGTCCTGCTGAGGGACAGAACTCACATCCCACGTGAGGTCTGAGGAGGTTCCTAGAAGATCCAGGCCCAAAAGATTCCGCAGACCACACAGAGGGAACAGCAGTCCACTGTTTTGGGCAGGCAGGTAAATGGGCTCTAATTACTAGAGTAGAAAGACACCAGCAGCTTGGGGAAATAGAACATGGAGTAGAACACAAGGCTGGAGCAGAGGACCACTAAAAGGGCAGGGGCGAGCCAGGCACCTACCTGCTACTAGAATGGAAGGGGGGACTCCAAATACAACCTGACCGTGATGATCAAAGGGTGGCGTCTGTCCAGTTCTCCACACCATCCCCAGTGCCTGGCACATGGCAGACCCTCAGTAAGTGTTTGCAGAATGACTGACTGATGGAGAAGTCTAAATGACCTCACCAACTGATTCTCTTAGGCTGTCCCTGAGCTTGCAGTCCCCCCACCCCCCAACCCCCTACAGAAATAAGCAGGCTTCAGGGAGCCTCTGGATCCTCCCAGCCCTGGAGCTGCCAGGGGCAACTTAGGAAGAAGTCTGTTTACCAACTGATAGCAGAGTGAACACAGACCCAGATGCTGAACATGTCTTCTTCTGCAGCTCAGGTGATTCATTCCTTTCTTATTATTTGTCTTTCCTAATCAGAGGTTTATGAATGATCAATTACATTCAGTGGTTAATTGCCCTTCATAAAGATAGCTTTTTTATTTTTAAATTAGGCAGTTAATATATTGTAACTAATAGCATCACCTTGTACATTATGGGCAAATCTTCATTGATTGGTGTCTGGAATGTGTGATTTGCACCCAAGTTAATGGAGCAGTTGAGTGAAGAAGTGCAGGGGGTCCCGGGGGACTAATTATTGCTAATGAATGATGATGTGACCTTCTCAGAACAGTGAACAATCGGTGTCGCGGTGAGATGGCAGAGCCTCACATCTGTCACTCCAAACACAACTTTAGGTGTGGGTGGAAGGGAGTAAATCACACAACTCACTTTGGGATACTTATGCCTGAGTCTCCCTTGAAATACAACATCAGTCTATCCAAACAATATGTTTTCCAAATCCAAGTACTAGTTGTAGAAGTGGAGCCCATCCCTGAAAATCTAGTAGAAAATGCTTAGGTAATGCCCTCCCTCGGGGTCCTGCCCTGTCTGACCACTAGAGGCCTCTTCGAGGTGCTCTCTTCATCATCCTGAAGTACTAAAAATGGAATGTAATCACTATTAAAATAATTACTAAAACGGTACAGTATCAATAGGGCATTAAACGGAGTCTTGCTTCTCAGGAAGCAGCATGATGCCTGATCAGTGTCCAGGACCTCATCTTGTCCTCATGCTCTAACGGCAGAAGAAGGTGGTTTGTTGTCACTCACACACATCCCCAGGGCTGGATGCCCAGCTGGGAGGTGGCCCTCACTAAGCACCAGCCGACTGAGTAATCAGGCATGTGAGGTGAGAACCATCATTCTCACTCTAGAGATGAGAAAGTGGAGGCTCCTGTGGACAGACACTCAACCCAGGTCACCCTGCTTGTAGGGACAAATCTGTGGTGGTATGTGCAGGCCTTTGCACAGCTGGGCAAAAGTCCCAGGACCCTCAAATGACATCATGCCTTGGGCAGGGCTAGCAGGCCCAGCTCTATTCTAGTATGTCCTAAAGCTGCAGAAGAGTATATGGGCTGTACCTGTGTGTGCACTTTGGGGACAGATGTACGATACAGGGGACAAACGCCAATGGTAAGGCTTTAAGGAGTCTACGCAGTGGGCAGATGTTGAAGCCCTTGCCACCCATGTGACTGTATCCGGAGAGCAGCGCCTATGACGAGGTAATTAAGGTTAAAAAGAATCAAAAGATGGAAGCCCTGATACAATGGGGCTGGTGGCCTTATAAGATGAGATATCTGAAAGCACTGGTGCTGGCTTTCTCTTCTTTCCCTTCCCTCACCCCTTTTCTGTCTCCCTCTGTGCCTGTACAAAAAAGAGGTTATGCGAATATGCAGCCTACAAACTAGGAAGAGGCCCTTGCCAGAAACCAACCATGCTGACACCCTGCTCTTACATTGCAGCCTCCAAAACTGTGAAGAAAAAAAAAATCTGAAGCTTAAACCATGAGTTCTATACATTTATAGTAGCCTGAGCAGACTAAGACAGCTGAGGAACCAAACCCTCTCCATGAGGCCTGCCGTCAATGTCACAGATTTGGCCTTGGGAGACCTAGAACTTAAGAATTCCAGAATGTCAGGGAAGCCCAAGATGGCACAGCTTCCAAAAAGCGGCAAGAGTCCCTGCAGCTAGGGCAGGTTACACTTTGAGATGGGACACCAAAGAAGCCTGGAGAGAGGGTGACTTGTGCAGGGCCCTGGCTGTCCTGACAGCCCTTCTGAGTTCTCAGCACAATAACCCCCTGGAGCCCCATGGGAGTGGGGTTTGCCCCCACTTCCCATGGCCAAACTGGATCTTTGAACTGACCTTTACCTCATCTCAGCAGACCAGGATGCGCCCCTGAGTGACAACGTCGCCTGATGCAATTACGGTGCATCAGATGAGCCGGTCCCTTACAAATCACCTCGGACTTTACACATCTGCTGGCTGTCGGCATCTGCCAGGAGCACTCACCCGAAAATAATGAAAACCCTCGCATTATTGTTCCGTGGCAGGTAAAGTGTTAGGACAATTATTGGACATCCTGAGCGACCTTGGGACGGCTCAACAGCCTGCCCTCTCCTGCTTGCCAAGGGCTGGGGAGGGGCCAGGAGGCTGCCAGGGAAAGAGCAGCCTAGGCCCCTCCCACTGTCTCCCCTCCCCTCCCCACCCTTTCCAGCCCTGGCATTTATCACCTTTGTCTGACCCAGAGGCCCTCTTATCACCTGGGTCAAATCCAACTCTTCTTCAAGGCCTGGTTCCTGTGCCCCTCACCCAAGGAAGCCTGACCCTCACCCTACCCCAGGCAGAGCCCACCCTCCTCCAGTCTGGCTCTAGTCATCAGGACCTCCTTCCCTGAGCTCCCCAACAGCTCCAGGCTCCCAGAGAGTTATGCCTTCAGCTGCCCACCATGCCTGGTCCCCTAAAAGCAGGTGTCACAGGAGTAGCTGA